AGTAACTTTACAGAATATTTACCTTTTCTCATGGAAATAAAATACTGATTGAAGTACTTATTCAAGTAGAAATATTCCCAATATAAGCAAAATGTTGATAACTGCATTAAAATACTATTTATTTAACCTTGTATGATTTATTGCAATTGTCATAGCTATGCAACAGGTTTCAGGGTATAAGCAGTGTAAAGAGTTTTGAAAGATGAAATTAATATTTCAATATACTTGATAAGAACACAATAATTTAATTACTCATAAGAGTTTTAATGTGCAGAATTTAAATTTTCCTTAATTTTTCCTAACAAAAGTTTAATGCAAATTGTAATATTTATTCTTGTTGTAAGAACCCGTATCATAAAACTATGTGAAAGATTTTCTTAATCCTAGAAATTGTATTATTTTTGAAAAGTATATTCCTGACCAAAGTTTAAAAGCAAAATCTCACTCATGAACATGGGCAACAGTGTGGTGATTGCTGGGAGGAGGGGTATATAAGAGGGCTAAATGGTAAGAAAAAATACAATAAAGATAAAATAAAAAAATAGAAGCAAATGTCATACCTGACAACATATTTAAAAGTACAATAAATGTGCTAATAAACATTTTTTTTAAATCACAGGATTAGATTGCATGTTTTTGTTTTCCTTTAAAACAAAATGGGTCTCTAAGGAGAATGTGGTTTCATTCTTGCATTTTATGGGTGGTGAAACCAAGGCCTGGAAAGGTCTTACGGGTTCTCACATAGCTATGTATGTGTCAGGGTGGATATCAAAATCCAGTACCATCTCCCAGTCTAGTACTTTTTCACTTGTTTAAAGAAAGGGAGGAAAACTTCAGCCCGTCAAAGTGAAAGGAACACAGCTGGACATGGAGTCTATTCATGCTATTCCCTCTCTTGTCTACTCAGACCTCCATTTTCTCTGAATTCCTTTTTCATGGACTAGTTTGCAGATGTCAGGGAATTGATTCTGAACAGAGAACCACCTCATTCCTATGATGCTTTGTGTGAATTCAGAACTGTGCCCCTCCAAGGGAATGCAGCCTTGCGTGTCAGTAGGCCACACTAGCCAGTGGCCATGGCTTGCTTCTCCATGACCTTACCACCCTTGGACCCAACACCACCTGCCTGCCCCATTTTTCTGTCTCCATTCTAATTTCTGACTTGCCCTACTGAGGTCAAATGTTAGTTTACAAGGTGGTGAGCCTGACAAAGAACCTAAAACCTATTATGTACGTAGTATATTTGAGCAAGAGAAACAAAAGAGAGTTGAAAGTTGATGTCAGGAAATATTGGTCTTACATTTGCCCTCTTTTTCATAAATTAGAAAATTAGAACCCCCCGCACCCCCGGTATACTTGTCATCCTAAGACTCAAGCTATGAGAGGTGATCAGAAGAGCTAACAACTTTCACTTGTACACCCAAGGACATTCTGCCCCCAGCTAAAGCAGACATCCCAACTGACTATGAGCTTCATCCTTTTTTCATTGACTTGACTTTGAATGCATTTTTAAAAATAGAATCCCACCAGAATACTGGATCATTTGAACATTTTAGGCAAGTCCCTCCTCACCATGTTCAAAATGCAATACTAACAATGCAGAGGAACACTTTTTATTTGATTTAATATAGACAGTTTCTTCTTCTGACAACTTCATTGGAAATCCAGCAATTAACAGTTTCTGAAATTGAGTCATTAAATTAATCTACTTATTTAAAAGATATAATGGCCAGTAGGGATGGCACCAGGAACCAGATCTGACAACATTGAAAAGGTATCAACTTCAAGTACAACCACTGCAGGCAGAATGGGATGAGGGGATAAAATCACTTATAAAACTGCCTTTTCGGGGCTGTAGGAAGGTGATCAACTCTGGCTAAAGCCAGTATATTACCAGGCTACATTGCTTCATTATAGGTCATCAGGTGAAAAAAAAATACTGTAATATATATTGGTATTAAAAGGGATCAAAATATAGTACCAGATATAATCAGAAGAGACAAAATATGCAACTCTAGCATTTTATTTTGAACTAAGTTAAATCTAAATTACTAGATTTCATAAACATTAAACAAATAGTTAGCATATTGACTTTTTTAGGAGAGGTGTTGAAGATAATTTAACTATCTCACTAAAACAAGGTAAGCAAATTTAATTAAAGACAGAGATCACCACATCCCTGTCTTGTGTCCACAACAGACATTTCTCATAGAACCATTTTCCCCTTTCCCCTGACCCTGAACCTGGCCCCACATCCTTCTCCTGGAAACCACTCCCTGCCTTGTAATTGGGCATAGTACTCAATGAAAACTGTTGGTTATTCCACTGATAAACTAGCCTTCCTGAGAGCAGGGACCTTGCCAGACTTATCCATCTTTATGTCTTAAATCCAACATATGACCTGCACAAAGCAACACTCAAAATAAAGTTGGAAATAGAAAAGTAATCTAAAAATCATAAAAAATAGTTTTTAACCAGCAGATAATTCTCAAAACAAAATACTTAAGTGGCCAAAATCTCAAGCACACATAAATTTAACTTACAATTTAAAAAAAAATGGACAAATAATTTTAGCTAGATTGGCAAGTTTTTTTTTAAACTAGTATTTAATGTTGGTTATATGAAGGGGAACAAGTACTTACGTATATGGCTGGTAAGAATGTAACATTATCGCCCTGGCTGGAGCGGCTCAGTGGATGGAGCACCGACCTGCAAACCAGAGGGTCTCTGGTTCGATTCCCAGTCAGGGCACACGCCTGGGTTGCAGGCCAGGTCCCCACTGGGGGGCTCATGAAAGGCAACCACACATTGATATTTCTCTCCTTCTGTCCCTCCCTACCCCATCTCTAAAAATAAATAAAATCTTTAAAAATTATACATACACACACACACACACACACACACATATATATAAAAGAATATAGCATAATGGATTTTCTGGAGGGAATTTAGTTTATCAAAAATAATAAAAACAGGAATATTTTGACTAGAACTTTTGCTTATAGAAATTTATTTCCTGAAAATAAATATTTGTGCAATGATTTAGCTATAAGGAAGTTTGTTGCAGTGCAATATTTTAAAAAATAAAACAATTTGTATTACCAATAAGGATCGATTAAATAACATTTGATGGACTCTCTTTATAATATTTTTATATATGTTTACTATACAGCTATTAAAATTATATAAAAATGTACATATCAACATGGACAAATGGTTAGCATCTAATGTTAAATGTAAAAATGGATTGCAAAATAGTATTTATGACATATGCTTTTACTTTGTAAGTGTTTAAGTGCGTCTGAGCATAAGCCCTAAGAAGAGGGTCTAGAAACTCTAACATGCTAACATTTTCCCCTGTATCTTTTCCATCTCCAGTAATCATTAATTACTTCAGTAATTTTAAAAAAAGTAAATTTTCTTCTTTTTTCATAATGTATTATCTCATAATGAGCAGAACATTCAAAATCAGTCTGTTGATCATTCTTTAAAGAATAGTAATTTCAGCATTTAGACACATTAGAAGCTTTGTTTAAGGATTTTTGTATGAGCACTGGAGAGTCATTCTTAAATCTGGCCCTGTGTTTACAAATTCTTTGTTTTCTTCTTTTATTCTTCCACTCTTTCAAAATTCTGCCCACTTGATGGGGTAAAAAAAAATCACAGATGTCTGAAGAGAGTGATTTGTTATAGAAGGCATGTAAAAGACGATTACATTTTGTTTAGGTTTTCAGTGTTCGTCTTATGCTTTTCTTATTACAAAAATAATACAGCCCTGAAAAGGTGCCTCAGTTGAACGGAGCATCCTCCTGTACACCAAAAGTCTGCGGGTTCAAGCTCCACAATAGCCAGTCAGGGTGCACACCTAGGTTGCAGATTTGATCTCCAGTTGGGGAATGTAGAGAGGAAACCAATCCATGTTTCCCTCATATTGGTGATCGATCTCTCTCTCTCCCCCTTCCCTCCCCCAAAGTCAATAAATACATCCTTGGGTGAGGATTTAAAAATAAAAACGATACCCACTTGTTTATTACACCAAAAATTGGAAAGTACAGAACATTTTTATTAGTTTTTATTTTGCTATACATCTATACATTATTTCCTTTATGTAGTTACAATCATGTTGTAGATGCAAGTGCTTCCTAAGTTTCACCAAGATGAAAAAGCTCTTTATCCTCCAAAATTAATATAACAGGTTAAAACAAAGAGAACATGGGATGTTTTCAAGTTCACTGTCCCATCATACATATTTATTGTATATTTACTAAGAAACAGAGAGGAATGTTTACATTAAATATGTCTCAAATAAAGTAATCAGAGGCTATTCTCAAAACGTTTAAAGACAGAGACAGAGTAGGGAGGGACTCACCATTCAAAAGGAGGCCTCTCCCTCTCCTGTGAGTATACCCCTCAGTTGCTCTAACTGGGCGATCTAGGTGGGACACCCTGAGCAGAGACCAGAGTGACTAGCATAGTGGGGGCCATCAGGAGGTTCAGGAAAGTGGCTGATGTCCAAACAGTGTGAAAGCATTTTAACATTTTAACGACTGAGATGACGAACTAGGCCCTTGAGGAAATGCACCGGAATAGTCTAGGGACTTCTGCTCTGGGGAGGGACACGACGTAATGGCCACAGCAGCTCTCCGTCTACAACAGAATCTTGCCTGTGGTCGATATCTGCCAATCTCATGAAATTGGAAACTCCATATCCAGTTTGCCAATTAAAAAGGAGAGAGGGAGAAAGTCCATGTTCAGACAAGTAAAAGATAGATAGTCATTATAAGCATACTGCTTAAATATTGTTGAGATGGAGAATAAAGGGGAGAGGTCAGTAGAATAACTCTCTGGCTGTGCTTGATAACTGGGAAATCTGAAGTATCTGTTTATTTTAAAAGGAAAATAAAACCCAGAAAGGGAAGTCAGTCACATTCATGAAATGGCAGTGTATGAACTTTTAATGCAAATGGCAATATTTTTAATAGTTCATTCTTCTCTTTTAGCTTTCCTTATTGGAAAAGGCTGGATTTGGAGGTGTCCTTCTGTATGTTGATCCTTGTGACTTACCAAGCACTGCAAATCTTAACTATGACACATTCATGGTGTCATTGAATCCAGGAGGAGATCCTTCTACACCTGGTTATCCAAGTGTTGGTAAGTTCATTGATAATATTAATTATTCTTGTAAGCATTGTAAGGTTGCAATTTATAAGTACATGCTACCTAAATTAAACAAGGGATACTAAAGTAAAAAAAAAAAAAATCTTACCACTCCATGTTTAAAAAGTGAATTTTTTACCTTCTCAAATTACGGATTACTCATTTGTTGTAATAAATATTTTTAAAACTATATAATAGATATTATGTCTTAATAAATTACAAGATCATGAACAAAGAAGAACTATTTTATATATTATTAATTGGCGGGCACTCCGTGTAGGTAGAAAACGTGTACAAAGACCTAAAAGCATGAATACCTGCTGCTTTGGGGTGGCTGTACTAACTTTAAATCCAGAGTCTGTGGGTACACGTAGTCAAGTTAGATGAATAAAGTTATGAGAAATGATGCTGAAAACAAGTGGAGTTAATATAATTGCAGTGCTGCTCCCTATAATAAGAGATCTCATTGGCTTGGCTAGTCTCTGGCAGCACAGAGACGGTCATCTTTGCATCAAACTTCTTTCTCTTTCCCTGTAAGCTGGGTTCTTAATAATGGGGGTCATGTGGCAGAGTGAAGACAACTGTGATTTTGGCAAGCGCTCACTGCATCATTGAATTTCTGTCCAATGCGTCATTGACAAATATTACATTTATACAGACTTGGCTAGGAGAAAGCTCTTTGGACCTTCTTCCAGGGCGATACTAACACATTAACCATGACATTTTATTCAGTAATTAAACTAACAAAAAATTCATGCAGTTATTTATGTGTTCTGCCAATATTTTCCTTGCTCTCCACAAAATATCACAAAAGACTTTACTAATGATCTTACTCAAGTCCAGCTGTTCTGACTTAACAAATCAACTAATAACTTTCTCCAAGAAAGACATAAATTGAGATATGAGTTATACTTTCTGATTTTGTTTTTGTGGGGGGAGTCTATTGATTGTTGCTTTGTTTTCTAAAATACCCCTTTAATCCTTTAATCCATGTAAAAAAATTATCTGGGACCTCATTAATCTATACTTTGTATAGCCTATTGTCTGATTATTACAATTTGGAATTAAAGTTAGAAAGTGATCATCTATAACTTCTGGCCATCCCCAAAAACTCAGTCCAGCTCTCTTACAAAAATGCTCTAACTTCCCTGGATTGGGATGCCTCAGCTTCAGGAGGTTACACCTGCAGCTAAATCTTCCTGACAAATCAATGGTCTGCAATGCAGCCAAAAAGTAGATACTTTATGAATACTCTGTTGAAGTTGGCAAGCTGCCCAGAGGACAACATATACTTTTGACATTATTTTAACCCAGGTCATTTCATAAATGTAGAATTCAGTCATATCTGGTAAAATGTTTGTCAATCTTAAGCAATCTCAGTATGTGTTTTTATTTTATTTTCAAATAATTTCCACTCAAAAAAGTTACAAATAAAGTTAATTGATTTACATTTATCCCAGCATCTTCTAACATTAGCATCTTACATAATATAGTAAAATTATCAGTTATAAAATTAACATTAATACAATGTTATTAACCAATTACAGACTTTTTTGTCAAATTTCCCTATGTCTCTTACTACTTTTTTTTTTTTCCAGCTGCAACATTCAATCCAGAATTCCATACTGCATTTAGTTGCCTTGTTTTCTTAATGCTGTCTGATCTGGATGTCTTTCTTTTATGACCTTGACCCTTTCATGAATACTGGCAGGTGATTTTATAGAATGTCCCTCAGCTGAGCGTGCTCAGTCATTTGTAGTGATTGTATTGTGGTTATGCATTTTTGGCAGAGATGCTGTAGAAGAAATGGTATGTCCTCTTCAGTGCATCATAGGAGAATGTACATGCAGTGGATATGTCTCATGGCTTGTGATGCTAACTATAATCCCTTGCTTATAGTAATGTCTAACAGTTTTCTCTATTGTATGGTTATTATTTTTTCTTTTGTAGTTAATGAACATCTTCTAGAGAGATACTATGTGACTATGTAAACACCTCTTTCTTATCATACTTTCCCCCATAAAAGTTAGCATCCATCAATTGTTCTTGTATATTACAATTATTGTGGTATTTGCCAAATGATAATTTTTCTGTTTTCATCATTCTTTTAGAATACTTTTTAAGAACAATTTTTGCAATATGAGTAGTCTTAGCTGCTGCTTTTATTCTTAAACAAAAATGAAACTACTAATCATTTTGGGCAAACTCTATGTCAGAAAGATTTTAGATTCAATGACAAAATATCATTTCAATAAATGACATTATCTCATATATTACTCAGGTACTTACAGAGGACTCAGATGAACAATTATTTTATAAATATAATGCCAGAGTGAGGAGGGGAGAGGATCTCTTTTGAACACATGAATGTCTAGATAACACACAGGAGAGGAAAAGATACAACGCATTGTATTTCTACTTTTGTCCTGGATGCTAATAATCTCTGATTAACTGCAATGACTTTTACTCCTGTTCCCTGTCAAAAAATATTTTATTGTTTATGCTATTACAGTTGTCCCAGTATTTCCCTCTTTGTGCCCTCCATCCAGCCTACCCCCACTTATTTATCTCTCCTTATTGAAATTGTTTTAAATGCCTATATCTTACAGTTTTATTCACATTAAAAAAAAATACAACCCCCTTCAAAATTTTTGCAGAGAGAAAGAAGGAGAAGGCAGGTTGTGAATTGTAAACAGATCTACAAATAATAATTTGTTCAAAGTGAACAGTAATATCTGACTTAACCCCCTTGAACACTGTCAGGTAAATAATTATTAGAAGAATTAATACAAAACTAGCTCTTTTTGCAGTTTTAAGAACTTTGTTTTCTTAACTAACCTAAGGATGATTAAGTTCCAGATAGCTAGTATAGGATGCATGACAAAAATCCAAGGAGCTGTTTTTGTCTGTTTGTTTTTAATATATGCAAAATAAAAAAAAATATTACAATGAACTCTCGGTATACATCATTCCACTTCATCACCTTTATACATTCTACCAGGGGATGTTTGTCTATATATGTCCTTATACTCTGCAGCACCCTTTCTGTGTTTCCAGATAAAATTTACATATACTGAAATGCATACATCTTCACTGACAAAAGATTATATCCATGTAATCTCCGTGCCTATTACCTAAAAAACATTTTTATCACCTTTGAAAGTTTTGAGTCCCTTCAGAGTCATTCCCTGTCACTAGCCCTAGCTAATCACCAGCTCACTTTTCTCATGGTACAGAAATTTAGAACATCAAAAAAGAGAAACATGAAATATATGTGTATTCTGTGCAGGCTCTTTTGCTTAGAATGATATCTGCAATGTTGATTCATGGTGGCATGTATCAGTAGTTCCTTGCCTTTGATTGTTGAGAAGTATACCACAATTTTTGTATTGATTCAAGTAGGTACTTTTTAAACAAGGATGCTGATGCACTCTTCCATAAAATATGATCTAAATGGAATTCCCAAACAAGATACAGGAACTTCCTATAAGGTAGATCTGCACAGAAGTCTCATGGCATATCTAAGTAAGCTCTTGATTATTATAGAATCAGAGCAAAGAAAAATTTTAAAATGACCTTTGCTTTTATTACACACAAAAAATGTTTTACTATACTTTTAACAAAAACAATGCTTTAATTTCACTTGGCCTATTAATTATCCTTTCCGAGCCTTATTTTCTTCAAAACAAAAAAAAGGAGGAATATCTAATCTGTAGCTCACATATTGTTATTAAGAAAAAGAAAAATCTCGAGCTCCACCCAGGTTGATACAGGTACTCAGAGGGAGGGACCCACCCAACTGTGTTTTAACAGACATTCCAGGTAATTCTAATACAACTGAATTTTGAGAGCCACTAAATTACAGAAATATATTCTTTATTTACCACAACTTAGTTGGATCCTAACCTAAACTTCGTGACTTCGTGTTGTTGTTCTTTGAGCAACTTGTATTACAACCTTTAATACTGCTGCCTTCACCTCAGTGAAGACTGAGAAATATGTGTGTTTGGGATCCTCAACCTGATTTTTGTGCTCAGTAGGCTTCCAGTATATACTTATTGAGTGAATAACTGGTTTTGTCAACATGACTACTTTTCTTTGATGATTCGTATCCTGGATTATATCTTAATTTTAATTTACCTAATTAAAATTCATTTTTAAAGTCCGTATAAACCTTTATTGTGATAGGTTTGTTTAGGAATATATGTTCCTTCCTCCTTACATGTTTTTGTCAATGCTGTCATATCTCTTCTGCCACTCAAAATCGCAAAAAATCCACTGATTAAAAAGTTTTGAAATTCTAATTAAGATATTAGGATATCAAGACTTTAATCTATTCTCTTAAATATTTTGTTAATTTAGCAAATATGTCAAAGATTAAATGTCTAGAATATCAAAAATTTCATCATAACTGTTTTTTAACAACTTGTTCAAATGTTTCTACTGCATTAATATATGATCCAAGGGAATCTCATCTATAGCCATATAATTTTAGAATTCTAATGGATATACAGTACAATTCTATTCTTAGCGATGAAATACAAGTAACTAGAACATATTACTTAGGGACACAGGCAAATAAGGCACAACACTGATATTTACAGTAACTAGTCATAATTAAATACATCAGTGATCACTTATCCAAAGGTACTTAGCCTAGAGTTATTAATCAATCAGCTACATAGGATGAGGCTCAAAACAAACATGTAATCAGCAAACTATAAGACAAACACACATTAGGGAGGTGAGACATGGATTATCTTTTCTTGTATTATTTTTATTGTATTTTCCCATTACCATCCCCCCATATCCTCTTCCACCCCGACCCAGCCGCGCTATCCCGCCCCTGCAATCGCCTCATTGTTGTCTGTGCCCATGTGCCCATGAGTCCTTCCTCTCTCACATTCTTCTTCTTTTTCGCTTGTTATCTTTAAGGAGTATCCTACTTGGTTTATGTTGAAAAATGGCAAAGAAAATTATTTACAATATCTAAG